TGTCAACCAAGTTAGCGAGCCTGGCCACCCGATCCCGTTAGTCGCCTCTTACGACAAGCATGGGTTACTGAAGCCCAATATTTTAACCCGGATTTTCATGGGTATGTTTAATAACGATATCTTCAAACGTGACTATCCTAATATAGCTCAACACAGAACAAGATGATCATAGTTTTTTCGCTTCTTGTTTAACGTCTCCTTCAGCGATATTACAGCTGTACGACTGCGATTTGTGAATAATCGAGTCTGGGCCAGACACAATAATCCAGTGATTGACATGTGTATCGATCTATGCAACTGAGACACGATGACATACATCAACCTAAGTCATGAGCCTGACCACACGGCACCTTCTGTTGTCTGATACGACAAGCATGGACTGTTGAAGACAATTGCACCCAGGATCTTCACGGTTGCTGATTGTAGTATTTCACAATCGTAGCTTTTCAGTCTTACGCCTTCGTTTTAGCCTTGTAACGTTTGGAGAAACATTGATTTCCAAACAAATCCAGGTTTGAAGAGTATACATATATTGCAGTTTAATTTCAATTTTTTTATATGACTTGTATTCGTAAAATCAACGGTCTGAACATTCTTAAAGTGTAAAACCTACAAATACAAATATTGGTGTGATCAGAATATAATGATAATGATCGACGACACGTATAATGATAACAATATCAATTGTAACACATGGCATGTCTATTGATGCATCACAAACGTATGCCAGTCAGAAGATGTAGAAGAACACCCTATTCTCTCATACTACTGTTCATAAATAACAAAGGGGGCGGTGGGGTAGCCTAGTGGTTAAAGCGTTGGCTCGTCACGCCGAAAACCCGGGTTCGAATCCCCACATGGGTACAATGTGTAAAGCCCATTTCTGGTGTCCCCCGCCGTGATGTTGCTGGAATATTGCTAAAAGCGGCGTAAAACCAAACACAGTCAGTCAGTCAGTCAGTCAGTCATAAATAGCAAGAACTTCTTCTTCTCTTTGTAACGACATATCACGGCTTAAAGATTGATGAAAATATTATGGATATACAACTTCTTTATTCTGTATCCATAACATTATCATCATTCTTAATCACCTCAGCTTCTGAAAGGTCCATCAAAGTAATACCACGGCTTCTTCCTCCTCCGCTTTTTACGCCGCTTCTAACAATACTCCAGCAATATCACGGCGGGGGGACACCAGAAATTGGATTCACACATTGTACGTATATGTGGGGAATCGAACCCGGGTCTTCGGCGTGACGAACGAACGCATTAACCACTAGGCTACCCCACCGCCCCCATCAGGATGAATATGTGATGGAGGGACAAGAAGTAATTCGTTACAAACAATAATAAAAGTTGTTATCAATAAAACGTTGCATGTATTAAAAAAGATTAGCTTAAAAAAAACCCACAAAAAACGGAGGGTGTTCTTTTACGTCTTTTGAGAGGTATGGCTATATCACCTTTGGCAAATACATAGTATTATACAGGTTCAAATTCGTTTTTCATTATGTTTCAGAGTTGTTTCAAGAGTCACAAGTTTCTATGTTACTAACTAAGCCGCGACCATGATTATTGTAGGCCTTTTGTGGCCATATTGACTATATTGTATAGAACTCTAAGGTCAAGGTCACGAAACGATCACAGCAACCTTCCTCCGGGTCCGAAGCCACGCCGGTTTACCGGGAACCTACGGGATTTAAAACTTGAGAAAGTACCCCTGGAACTGGAAGAGCTCGGGCGTCCTTACGGCGGTATTTTTACGTTTTACGTGTTTTCACACCCTGTTGTCGTTCTCCATTCCTACAAACTCATCAAGGAGATGCTGGAGTCGTCCGAATACAGCACAGCGTTCAGTGGAAGAATAAAATGTTACGCAGGGATTAACCTGGTCCCAGACGACATCGTGTTCCAGTCCAATACGGAGAGATGGCAGCTACTGCGGAAGATAGCGCATCGTGGGATCAAGCAGTACGGGACGTCCCTGCTGAACGTGGAGCGACATGCACAGGAAGAGTTGCGTCGAGTTGTGGCGCGACTCAGAGACTCCGGATGCCGACCCTACGACTGTCTGGCGGACATACATAATTATGTCTGTAATGTGATACTCATATTGGTCAGTAGACACACATCTGGACCGCTTGCACAAAGCGATCTTAGCGCTACGATAACCGTAACTCCCTACTCTAACACAGAACTAAGATAGTCGTAGTGCTAAGATCGCTTTGTGCATGTGAGCCCTGGGCACGTTCAACAAAGTCATTGTGGTATTAGTCTGTCTCACAGTCCCTGAACCACATTATTTTCCCTACAGCCTTGCCCTCCCGGCATTGCTAAAGCCCTAAATGAAGCAAGTCTAGATTTTCCCAGGTTCAGGAATCTCTGGTCTCCCCGGGGCTCCTTGTAAATTTAAATGGGTTTATCTGTGGCAATCAAAATTATATATATTCAGAGACTAAGAGTTAGTCTATTGTCGTATGTGACTGTTAAACTATGGGAATCACGATGAACGTAGCACTACAAGCCTTTTGTAAAACGGGTCCATGGCGCTGAGTCCGTTCCAAGTGAACGTAACGATATGAGTGTTGTTTATCTTTTTTAAAGTATGGGGTTTCTTGCCGGATACAACCGGGTCCTGGCCCTTTTCATAAGTCGATCGTGCGTAGCGCTAAGACTGCAGCAAAGGTTTGCGACATAGTGTAAGTTACGAATGACGTATACGCTAGTGCTTCACTACCATTGCTTTGTGAAACAGGACAACGACCCATCAGCTAGAATCTTGTCACTGCGAGCTTCGTAAATGCCACAATTAGAGTTGCACGTACGGTAGTCGTATCAACATTTAGTGCATCTATGCTTGAACAGAAACCTACATAGTTCTAACACTGGTATTGCTTTCCGAATGGAACTCCTACCCGTTCGTAAAGTTCACCTCATACTCAGTCGTCGAGCCATTATCGACCTCCTAATCGTGCCCCAGTTCCTGAAAGGCATTATGTCCCCCTCCAACCAACTCCTTCCACATTGCTAAAGCCCTAAATGAAGCAAGTCTAGATTTCTTCCGGTTTTGAATCTCCCAACTCACTGGGTCTTCTTTTCAATTTATTATAATAAAGCAGAATTATTTTTGTCTATCCAAATTATATATATTCCGAGCATAAGTCTGCCTGTGACCTCCATTTCATCCCGATGACTATTCTCTACAGATAACCATTCTAGTTCTTCTTCCCTACCCAGGCTGTAGGCAGACGTTTCGATCCAGGAGAAGACATTTTGGAATACGTCAATAACATCGTTGACGGCTTCAATTACATCACCCACTTCAAACGCTCCTCCATCCTGGACACGATGCCGTGGACGGCCTGGATTCCCTCCGAGACTGGTAGAACGTGCAGGGACATCAAGACAAACAGAGACAAACTCATTACAGCGATCGAACAGATGAAAGAGGTGCCTACAAGTTCTGGCAGCGCGCTGTAGACGTTAGGACATAAAAAGAACCCAAACAGTCGCATACTATTCTGATTGTCTTGTACCATCTTATTTCAGTGGGGTCGCTTTTAGGCCCCCTCTATCGTCATTCTATCTACATCATGTATTGACGAGGGTTTTAACGCATTGTACCCAAGGGGTGTATCGAGTCAGTATTCTGCTTGGGTCAGACTCTTCATAGCCGTGAAATATACCTGTGAGGTTCTGACTGTCTGACAGGATGTCACTGTTTAAGCTATGTCTGACTGTCTGAGAGTACACGAAGCTTCTGTTTCAGCGTCAGGCGACTCTGTCTGCCCGCCTGAAACGATGTTACCATTTCAGCGTCATAACGAGGCTATGACTGACTGTACACGAGGCTACTGCTTCAGCGTCAGGACGAGGCTGTTTCTGACTGTTCAATAGATGTTACTTTCTAAGCATCATTGCGAGACATCTGACACAATGTTACTATTTCAGCGTCAGGGCGAGGCTATACCTGACTGTCTGTACGCGATGTTACTTTCTAAGCATCACTGCGTGACTATCTGACACAATGTTACTATTTCAGCGTCAGGGCGAGGCTATGCCAGACTGTCTGTACACGATGTTGCTGCGGGAGCGCGACGCGGGAAAGATATCTAGGAACGCCGTCAAGGGGGTTCTGCTGGACGGGCTGGTGGCAGGTGCGTGACGGCTGTAGTCGCGTGTACTCGCCTGAATACCATGGGGAGCTCAGGTTAGAGAGTAAGTAGGGTTTAACGACGCTGTAGCAATAATCAAGCCAGGTCGCGACGGGGGACAAAACAGAATGAATTTTACAAATTGTATTATACAGAGAATTGATCCTGAGCCTTTGGTGAAGCGAGCACTTTGACAACTAGGCTAACACCACCTTCCAAGGTCACGTTGGAAAAATGGATATTTAATCGGAACTACTTATATACACATGTGTGGTTTGTAGTATTTCATATAATAATTGTGAAAGAAACACATTGCCATTCCTCTTGTCTTGTTAAAGTTAGGCAAAGAGGATTATGTCTGCTGGCAGTGAAGAAAGCGTTTTTTACACAAATGGTTCTAAACGTATTGTTTCGGAACACAAATCCCCTGAAATCACACAGATTATTTTTTTGTATAAACCTTCTTTGTAGTGACACACGGTGTCTATATATTATGTCCTGAGACACTTCAGCCAACCGGTCGAAGGAACAGCAAATATCGCCCCGTGACAAGATCGTGTTCAAACACCCATTTCTATTTGACAATGAACCCTTGAACGTCAGCACCAAACAGGGACCATTGCAATTAGTTCGACCAAAGTTGCCAGCATCAGTATCAAGCACAGGCGTTTTATTGTGCTTGCCTTCCATACTGAGAAGGGTCGCCGACACAAAAGTGAAATACGTTTCATGTAACGTAGAACCGTGGGATAAAAGCAGTATGTTTAGAATGTTCCTGTAGTCTTTGAATACAACGTTAAACCCACTGTCGTCTTCCTTCGCGATGTGACACTGTCTTCCTTTACCTGTCAGGTGTGTTGACAACGCGGGGGACGCTGTACACCATGCTCTTAACACTGGTTCATAACCCGGATGTACAGAAGAAGATTCAAGAGGAAATATCGCAAGTTATCGGAACAACGCGCTTGGCGAGACTGCAGGATCGGACCAACATGCCGTATACGAGAGCGGCCATCTTGGAATCTCTCCGCTTCACGCCTCCTGTGGCCCTCCCTCCAATGAGAACATGCATCCAGGACACTCGCCTGCACGGCTTTCACATACCTAGGAAGACAATGGTGAGGAGTGAGTGAGTGAGTTTAGTTTTACGCCGCACTCAGCAATATTCCAGCTACATGGTGGCGGTCTGTAAATAATCGAGTCTGGACCAGACAATCCAGTGAACAACAGCATGAGCATCGATCTGCGCAATTGGGAACCGATGACATGTGCCAACCAAGCCAGCGAGCCTGACCACCCGATCCCGTTAGTCGCCTCTTACGACAAGCATGGGTTACTGAAGGCTCATTCTAACCCGGACCTTCACGGGTCACAATGGCGAGGAAGCACATCGGATTTTTTGGGATTAAAATATCACCCTCAAACATGTTTTCTAAAATACAAATCCCAACGTCCCTGTATATTTGTATGTCTCAGTTATTGGCGCTGGTCCTGCTCTGTAATTCGCATTCTGATAGATGTTTTAGACTGAGGAGCATTGGAAATCAATCTGGTGAGTGAAGTTCAAGGGCGTAAAATTTGAGGTCGCGAGATCGACGGGAATCGAACTCCCTTCTTTAATACTACTTACACACTATTATCCGTTGTATTCACTTGTAATGGTGCGGCTATGTGCGTTTGGCCATCCGTATGTTTAATGGGTTTCTCATCTCCAACCTTAACCAGTTAAATATCGGGCGGGCGGAAAAACAAATGTTTTTCACAAATTGTCTGACTTATTTTTCGAAATTATAGAGTGAGTGAGTGAGTTAAATGTTACGCCGTTTCAGTATTTCAACAATCTCATGGCGTGGGACACCGGAAATGAGCTTCACACATTGTACCCATGTGGGGAAACGAACCCGGGTCTTCTTCGTGACGAGCGAACGCTTTAATCACTAGGCTACCCTACGGCCCCCGAAATTATAGCTATCAGGTGACTGGTTAATAGCCTTTAAACTCATTTATGATGAAGATCACGCCAACTGTTTCGGAAACCATTCTATAATAAAAGTAGACGAAGAAAGATGAATCTTATCTACTTTTTATGTAGTACAGGGGTAAGAGTTAGTCTGTCGTACAGACCCTGAAACAAATTTATCTCAGACAGCCCATGCAAGTCTAGATTTCCCCCAGTTAAAATGAAGAAACTCTCTGGGCTCCTTTTCATTATATTTTATGAGTATTTTTTATCAACAGTTTTATCCTGTAATATACGTTCATTTCAGAGACTAGATGTTAGTCTTGGGTGAGGGTATGTTTTATCATATCATATCACAGCAGCTGGGTAAAATGAGATATGAAAACGTTTTAATATTTCACATCGGAATGAAATTTCAGTTTGGGCGGGAGATGGAGACACAGGAGAAAAATACGGACGACCCTAGCCGCAAATTGTGAAATATTTCAACACATATAGTCATGGAAACGAATAAGGGAACACATGTACAAGTGTTCCTCTATTTATTTCCAGATTTTCACCCACAGCGCAATACATACCTTGTGAAGAAAACTGGAAAAGAATAAAGGAACACTTGTACTTTCATGTGATCTTTTATTCGTTTCTATGAGTTTATTTTTATCAACCGTTCCCTTACATCTTGTCTTCAGTATGTGTTTTTCTGCCCTAGGTGTGGTACAATATCTGGTTCGTGCATCATGACCCTTCCTTCTGGAACGAACCGTACAAATACATCCCGGAACGATTCCTGGACGAGCACGGTCAACTCGTGCCCCCAGAGGACCAAAGGAGACAGAGGTGAGAGGGAGAGGCGGGGGTGAATTATGATGTGAATTGGGGAGGATGTGTGGTGGTGGGTGAGGGTGAGGGTAGTGAGGGTGGTTCCTGGTTGCGTTAAAAAGGAAATCTAACATATTGTGGTTATAGTTTCATGGCATGGGTAATATGTTATCAATGCCTTTCATTCTTCGGCTGTCTGTGAAAGCTCACTCGCCCACTCACTCACTCATGGGTGTGTTGTATTGCTATTAGCTCACACACTCACTCGCGGGTGGGTGTTATTGCTATCAGCTGTGGAATGATAGTTGGAGATTTTACACGCGCTTCATGACAGAGAAGGGGTAACCAACTGCTGTGTCCATTCCAAACCCAAGGTTGTTCGCTCGATGGATAGCAGTATTTCACCAGAACACACGGAGCATGATTTAAGCAAGCCTTGTCTTTTTAACAACATACAGTCCGTCTGAGTCAGAAACTGACTGATGAATTGCAAATTTTATCATTATACATAATTGCCACATAAATATAAATAGTACACACGTTTATCATTTACTAATACCCAACAGCTTTCTTATATTTGAAAATTTTCCGGACTCCACCAAAAAAGTTGTTTAAGAAACTATCATCATTGAAAACGCAAAAGTTGTTATCTGTCGCGGCGGGGCCAACTTGCACAAAGCAAAATTATAGTTGTAGTTCCCATACTTTAACATATAGTAACGAGCAGAAAAAATGCGACAAAAAATGCGATCCTACTATCAAAAAAGCCGAAATACATTGTTTCTAGCTGCCAGTAGCTTGCCTCGTTGGTATGGAATTATCTCCCTTGGGTTCAGGGATGGCTTGATAACGTGACCGCGTTGCTAGCAGACGATACTGAAGCTTTGCCATGACGTTACAAAACAACAGAAATCGACTCTTGGCATATCATGAAGCAGGTGTTACATTCGTCACTAGACTTGTGAAATTGACGGTCTGCATCGGGCCTCTATTTACCGAAATTTGAAGAAATTTGACGCAGGGTTAGGGACAGAGCGACAGGCTGGATCGGGACGTCGTGCTACTCATGGGGCAAAGGATTACTGTCACTGACGGGGTTGTAGTACTATATAAAAGGATTCCTTATATATAGTACTAAGACCCCGTCAGTGACAATATATGCCTTGATGGCAGTTTTTAGCGTTACAAGCCTCTGTGTGACAGACGACGTATTGCGCGTCTCGCGGCGGCGTACCCAAACTGGTCTGCAAAACAGCTTGCCGTGCTTCAAGTCAAGGAACCCCTAAGGTATCAGATTGGACAATCAGAAGATCTTTAAAGCAATCTGGATATGTCAAGCGAGTGCCGAAGAAAGTTCCGTTGATGACAACAGCACATATGGAGAAAAGGCTCGAGTGGTGCAGGGATGTGAGGGTACAGACTTTTCAAATGTGATTTTTACGGACGAATCAAAGTTTCAGTTTTATAGGATCAAAAGAAAGAGGTGGTCAAGAGGTGGACGTAGCTGCAAAATGGTTCCGAAGTTCTCACCCACTGTCATGGTTTGGGTGGTATAGGCAAACTCGGGGTAACGCCGCTGCTAACTATTACAGGAAGGATGGATTCACTGTCAACTTATACAAGAAGGCATTGTGGAATCCCATATAGGACAGAGTGGAATACCTTTCAAACTTTTACAGGACAATGCACATGTACACAAGTCAAGACACACCTGCAACTGGTTTGAAACGAGTCACGTAACCTTACAAAAATTTCCAGCGGCATCGACCTGAACCCAATTGAAAATGTGTGGCAGATTATGAAGGACAAATTAGAAAAGTTGGAACCGAAGAGTGGTCTAATCTCCTCGGTCAAATATGGGTGGACCTACCTAAAAACTACATAGACAATTGGATTGACAGCATGGGACGCCGTATTCAGCAGTGCATCGAGAGAAACGGTGGGCTAACAGACTATTGACTTGCATAAATGTAAACTTCAGTATCCAGAGTGGATGTATGTAAAATATAACTGAATTTATCAGTAAATAAATTTTGAAACTACGTCTGTGAAAAGTCGCATTTTTCTGCTCGCCTTTTGTACATAGGCGGCTCCGGGGTGGGGTTTGGGTTTGTGGGTTTGCAGGGGTGCGCGCAACCCTAAATGACCATTGAAACTCGGGTGAAAATAAAGTGTGCACCCCTTCTTTTCTCAATAGTGAGCACCCCTTTCTCAATCATTCAGACTGTCTCAGCGCTAAGATAACTTTGTGCAAGTGGGCACTGGGCATCGATTTCATAAAATTTAGTTGAATTAAAAAGTGTTATTTTTCCACGTCTGAAAGAAAATCCAGGCCGGATGGCTGGATATGGAGGACACAGAAACAAATACGAACAGCCTAATCGGTGTTTCACTCAATACGCACGATCGGGAGGGACTACCAATTACTTGTATTATCTGTTTCAGGCTGCTGACATTCGGGATCGGCAAGCGTCAGTGTGTTGGTGAAATCTTGGCCCGGGTCCGTCTCTTTCTGGGCGTGGTCACTATACTACAGCACTTCCACCTGGAGGCTGACCACGCCCACCCACTCCCCTCGCCTGACCCTAGAGACATTGGCTTCACCGCCTTCTACAACACGCCCCAGTATAAGATCAGGTTCAAACCTCGCGATAACAACACACCAGGATACTGACAGAAATAATAGGAAAACAAATTACAAAATAAAAATAACTTCCAATTTTCTGCCGTCATGTTGCACGAACTATATAGGAAGGGATTGCTCGGTGACGGTTTACAGTTAATCTAGACTTCACCTCACCTTCAAAAAGCTTTGTGCGCAAGAGAGCCATGCAACCCTGGATTGAACAGGGAATCCTGCGTTATTACTGCGCCATCATTGCCAGAAATATTACAAAGGTTACAGAACGAGTTGACCCTAAAAGCCGCAATCTGAACCAGGTGTACTGCCGAGCTACTGGACAAGGCTCTGTTCCAAATATTCTGGTGGTACAGCATCAATCATTGGCGTAGTCAGTTAGTAATCCCGTGATGATCCAGGTCTCCCGAAACCCACGCTTGCCGTAAATACCGGTATCAGGGCGTCCGACTTGGCTCCTGCATGTCATCGTATCCCAATATTGCTATGATCGATGCTCATCATGTTAATCACTGGATTGCCCGGTCGAGGCTGTTCACTGCATAAATAAGAATAAGAAACTATAAGAATAAGAAAGCTACGCCAATGTTTGATGGCGGCTAAACATGAAACAAACGAGAAATACATTTGGTGGTGATGCATGTCCTGCCACATTACATTCATCATATATCAATGGGTATCTCACAACAGCTGACGTACACATGGCGGATCAAGGACACGTCGCCATTTCACAGTCCAGGAAGCAGAGTGAAAATGTCTACTGTCTGAGCCATGTGAGCGTCTTGTCTCCGTCTTGGCTCCCGCTGTCTCTGGATTGCTGGTAACGAGGCCTGTCTCTTATGTGCTATTGTTTATTATGTTCCTAAAGTGCACCGTCGCGTGCAGTCGACGCGACATTGTTCAATACAATTAACACTTTCTTTCAATACGTCAATACTTTCACAAAGTGAGTGAGTGAGTTTAGTTTTACGGCGCACTCAGCAATATTTCAGCTATATGGCGTCGGTCTGTAAATGATCGAGTCTGGACCAGACAATCCAGTGATCAAACGCATGAGCATCGATACTTTCACAAAGAATACCAGGCGACTTCAGTTTGATCCCTAATATTCTAATTGGCAATGTACTCCAAACTTCGAGGGGCGGTGGGGTAGCCTAATGGTTAAAAGCGTTGGCTCGTCACGCCGAAGACCCGGGTTCGAATCCCCACATGGGTACAATATGTGAAGCCTATTTCTGGTGTCCCCCGCCGTGATGTTGCTGGAATATTGCTAAAAGCGGCGTAAAACCAAACTCAGTCAGTCAGTCAGTCAGCCCAAACTTCGATTGCACTCAATCACCTGCTACCAGTGAAAACATCAAGGAATATTGAAACTTCATTGTCTTGAAGGAATTAGGTTATGTTATTCGCCAAACTAACATTATTAGCCATTTCGATTCCGATTAAAAACTGTATAGAAAAATCAACCGAGACAAGAACGTGACTAATTATGTTTGCTTGTTTCATGAACAGGACTCAACTATTGATTTTTGTCTCCATAATGTGCTGAAGTTCGGATCTAATGACTGATAAACGTTTACTATAATATCTGGCTCTATCTTCATAAGGATTAGATAAAACATAGTGATTATGTAATATTGATATTTCTTACCCATCTAAAAGTTACAGAGGGCGAACGCCTTGACATTACATTTTAAATATTTAAGTTACATTGACAAATATGGATTTCAGAGGATAAGAATCAATATTTTTATTCGAGTATATCATTAATTCTGTTTCCCAATAATGAGGTCGGCCTGGTTTCATCATGTTCATTTCTAATGGCAAGGTATGCTTCTAATGGCAAGGTATGCTTACGCCTAGAAGTAATAAACAGAACAGGTGTATCAATTTAAAATACTTCTCTCTCTCCCTCTGAGGTGATAATGTGAGGATTGGCACGCATGCACGTACGCACGCACGAGATGAATGAACCTGTTGGATCGAAGTTGAAGAGACGTACGTAAATGCCTCGACACAACCAAACATTAAAAGCATACGAAGGGACTACGTATTTACTTCGCGACAACCGGAAGTTCGATACATAGAGAATCTCACCCGAGTGTCTTTTGATATCAAATATATCACCACGAGTTGATAAAGTTACAAATATCCGAGGCTTGCCGAGGATATTTTTACTTTTATCAACGAGTGTTGATATATTTGATATCAGAAGACACGAGGGTGAGATTCTATTTATCATCGAAATCACTCTTCATTAGTTTTCAATGAAATGTACATCTCTGAGCACGGTACTGCCATTAGAACAGCAGTGCAGCTATGTCATAGCATTGTGACGTCATCAAGTTCATGACGTCATAGCATTGTCTCGGTATCGTACAAAATCTACTGTCAAAACGATATCTCCTAGGAGATATCGTTTGATCTCACATAAGCAATATCTCCTGTGGAACACAGCTTTGGATGATAATAGAGAATTCGCAGAATTCAGTGTCTTCTGATCTAAAGTTACAAATATCCGAGGCTTGCCGAGGATATTTTTACTTTATCAACGAGTGTTGATATATTTGATATCTCCTGTGGAACATCAAAATCTTTGGATGACATCTCTGAAATCCAAGACTTGTCCGACATTGTGGTCATGGACGTCTTTAAATTGTACATCTGTCAAAACGTAATGTCTATCTCATGGATATCTGAACTAATGATAAATCCACCGACAGGGATGCATCTGCAGTAATGTCTAATGGCTGAACTAACCACTGCAACTGCGGCTTCTCTCACATTCAAGGACGCGACCTGTAAATAGCTATTAGAAATTGCGACTCTGTTGCATCATTTAAATCTTATATCCACGTGAAAGAAAAATGTGAACCCAAATATTATTCATATGGAATATTTAAATGTTTTGCACACAAGATTAAGATATGTGACGAGTGCACATTATGATTTATTTAGAATAAATATTTAAAAAATGACGCATCATGTTAATGTGGCCATGGATGTGAGAATGTTTTTCATGACTTCCTTGAATGTCCATTGTATGCTATTCAAAGACATAAACTGTCACAATCTCTAGAAAGTATTGTTAAAATAAGAACACTGATTGGTATTAATCTTATATTACATGGAATGCAGGTGTCTCATTAACTTTAAAACAAAATGTTTTCAAATATGTGCATATCTATATCTCTCCAACAAAACGTTTTCTCAGTTAACTTCTGTTGTACATATCCTAGGCCTATTATTGGGAGAGGGCTTTTTGTAAAAAAAACCCAATCAAACCTCTCAGTGACAAACCCGTGTTTGTATTCGATAGTAATTGATAGTAAAAACAATTTTGATAAGAGAACTCATTTAATCATTTATCACTCAATCACAATCAAACTTCTCTGGAACCTGTTTCAGACTTACCCTACACGACTCACAAGACAGTGGACTGTTCCATTATACCCGTGGGTGTTACCCTAATTAACCTTCTAGTTCAGTGTCTGTCAACTGGTTGTCTGTCAAACCATTTGTCTAATGGCCTCGGACGCTTAGTAAACCTGATCCAAAATACCAACATTGAATATATACTAGGCACATAAAGAAACTGTGCATACAAAAATTTAAAATCTAAATTTATCAAACCTGTGTAGACCCATAAGGATTTAAACTCAGAGATTAGTGACATGTATCCAACATGCATGCACGTGCCACGTTCCGTGACGGCAGTAGGTTCGTCCTTGAGACGTGCAATACGTTGTTGCACCTGCATTCCGGGAAAGAGAAACAGAGCAAATGAATGCCACACAATACTGTCACTTTGGAAACCTCAACCCCTGCCTTTGCGATCGTTCAAAAAATTAAACGGCTATTGAAACGTATAGCATGCCAAGGCTCACGTCTGCACAACGTCATGAGGCCATTGGGATGGTCCGTGGGGGAATGTCTCAACGATAAGTGGCTGCACATTTCCACTGCCACAGGAACACCATTTCTGCCCTGGTGAGACGCTACCAGAACACAAATGACGTCATCGTATGGACGTCCACGTATAACAACGCCAAGACAGGACAGATGGATAAGGGTGACCTATCTTCGCCACAGGTTTTAGACTGCAGTGATGACTGCCCGAACCATCCCAGGACTTCGCCGTATCCACCCCAACACAGTTCGACAACGTTTACGTCACCACGGGATCAGACCACGACGTCCCGCCATACGGCCTATCCTGACACAACATCATCGACAAGCTCGCCGAATGTGGTGCCGAAATCATGTCCGCAGACCCTTGTCCTGGTGGAGAAATGTTGTTTTTACAGATGAGTCCAGGTTTAACATTTCCCATAGTGATGGACGTCAACGTGCCTATAGACGCGTGGGAGAACGTTATGCACAGGCCTGTGTCTTGGAGAGGAATCGCTTTGGTGGTGGTTCCGTGATGATTTGGGGTGCAATAACAGCACGCCAAAGAACTCCTTTGGTGATTGTTCAGGGCAACTTAACTGGTGTGGGCTACAGGGATCAGATTCTTCGACCTGTGGCAATTCCTTTTTCTGCAACGTCATGGCCCTGGGTTAACATTCCAACAGGACAATGCCCGCCCTCATAAGGCAAGGGTTGCTATGCATTTCTTGCAACATCCCCGATAGAGCATGTTTGGGACGAGATGGATCGACGTCTACGCCGTCTTCCTCATCCGCCAGATAACGTCCTTGACCTTGCAACAGAACTTGAGAGAATCTGGCGTGACATCCCACAAGCCTTCCTTGCACGTTTGATAGGCTCTATGCGTCGTCGATGCACTGCTGTTCTCAATGCCGATGGTGGACATACCCGTTATTGAGCTTGTGACATGGTCGTTTGACCCCTGTCCCGCTTGTGGACTCGTGACGTCATTGTGATTCACTTTTCAATTGAAATTCTCCCGACTTGTTATGGTCTCATGATCCATCCATTAAAGTTTATATGTACCTTTGACATTGTTATCGTACTTTGAATCTGAACTGTGTAGAATCAAGACCTTTTCTGAATCTTGATCACAGAAACGACCTCTGCTCATTTTCGTCAGAGACCATACATCGGTATATGGCCTCTGTTTTCGTGGTATATTTCTCGTTTGAAACATCTTATACCCTGAAACAGAATTCCGTGTTGTCCTGAGTTGACTATGGTTGTCTATGTCTTCATCAGAATCAAACTGCTCTTCCTGCCGTGACTCCACAAATAAACGAGACAATATCCAAGCCATTTCGCCTGTGGGAGTGAGTGAGTATGATTTTACGCCGCTTTTAGCAATATTCCAGCAGCATCACGGCGGGGATTAGCAGAAATGTGTTGCAGCCATTGTACCCATGTGTGCAATCGAACCTGGATCTTCAGCGTGACGATCGGACGCTTTAACCATTAGGCCACCCCACCGCCTCCAGTGGTCCAACATCCCC